CTTTCACCGCATTATATTACCAAATGTCTAAAACATCAAGTGATATACATTTTCTACAGACAACTTGCCCACATTATATTACCAAATGTCTAAACACATCAAGTGATATACATTTTCTACAGACAACTTGCACCACATTATATTACCAAATGTCTAAACACATCAAGTGATATACATTTTCTACAGACAACTTGTACCACATTATATTACCAAATGTCTAAACATATGGATCATTTGTACCACATGATAATACCACATAACTAACAATTTTATACTTTAAAAGATCATTACCTTCATTCTGATTTGTTGTGGCATATCAAAAATGGATAAAATATTACACTCCACCAAATTAACCTATTTCACACTGTAATAGTTGTTGTCAAGCTGTTTGATAATATAAATAGCCTCTCAACCATTATCGTGTCTTTCGAAGTGCCCTGATATTGGGTGAAAGGTCTCGTCGGCAATGGATATAGGAGATATAGTGTGATAGACATATTATTATATACTCTTTTTTTTTATAATCACAATACCAGATGGATAAACATTTTATTCGTTTTTTTTGCACCATATATTACCTCATGACTAAACATTTAACAGACCATTTGTACTACATTTTATTAACCCAAAACTAAACATTTTATAACACATTTGTAACATACTATCTTACCGCAATAATAAACTTTTTATATAGACCATTTGTGTCACATAATAGTATCACACAGCTAAACATTTTATAAAGAGCATACTTACCATATCACATTACCACAAGGTTAAACATTTCATATAGACTATTTGTACCAGAAGACTAAACTTTACATATATAAGTCATTTGTACCACATCGTATTACTGCATGTTTAATATGACTCACATCATAATATCACATGGCTAAACATTTTGTACATACCATCCATATATATATCACATCACCAAAACAAATGGCTAAAACCTTCCTATGTAGAGCATTAAACTTCTAATTTCAGGCTAGGATGTCCACAACTTTTTTACAACTAATAATCACTTTTTATGTTATATGAGATTATGTAAATTCAATATGTGGAATATTTAATGAATAATGAAATACTTTTAACGGAACATTTAATACACAATGCAGGAATAGGTGAGTGCTTTATAAGGAATACTGGTACATAATGTAGGAATAATGAGGTGCTTTATATACAGTATACGATGGGCAGTTACCGATATACTTTATAATAATTTTTGTTTCAGTATTAATGTCAGTTCTAAGATAATTTAAATGTTGATAATATTCATGAAAAATTAAGAAAATACTTCGTACCTTTTCCAGTTCCTTCTTCAGGTCGCACTCAGGAAAGTCGAACGGAAGAAAGTTGTCTGAATTATTCAGAAGCTTTGCTACTTCTTCTACGGTTAGTGTCGAAGGAATCACTGACGAGTTGAAGAACGGACTTAGGAGGTCATAACGCTCCTGTACGCAGCGCTCGTGTACTTTGTGAGCTTTGAAACCTGCGTTAAAATCAAAATATTCACACGAAAATAAAACGGTGTCTGGTTGATTAAAACAGGAGAGTTTGAAAGGAAAACAAAAATTACAATTTTAGCTTCTCCTCCAAAGGTAAGATATTCTAATGATGAAATAATAAGAACTATGAAATGTATACGAAAGAAATATAACGAGAAGTACGAAATATGCATAGAAAGCAACACAGTGAGAACCATGATATATGCATGAAAATCAAAATAACAAGGACTATGAAATATCCATAAAAAAGCAAAATCACGTAACATGTATCCCATCTTCCCACAGATCTATAAGTTGTTGTTTAAGCATTGCTTTTACTTCTTGGTCAATATGCTTGTTTCTCGTCTCTTCTACGGAGGATGAAAATGATGGATCAGGAAAAATTCACCATTCAGAGAAAACTAAACTGTGAAATCAATATATATCCATACATATCTCTACAGCACCAAATCATTGCACAATATAAACATAAAATCCTCTACAAATATAAAACTTCGTCGTTTAATTACAGCTCAGAAGCTATACAAGCAGGACACCTGAGAGATACATAACTGTTTTTCGAAACCGGGATATCGATAACATTTTGAGGGTCCGCTGTTTGAAGACATCGATTTATATGATGCAATGAACATACATATATTATTTCTGTAATTAAGTCAAATTCAACAAGAAATATGTTCTCTAAATCTTATGTTTTTAATACAAAGAAACCCTCTTTTTATTATGATTTTACTACATATATGTTTATACTGGTCTGCAGACATATGCTTGCTATTGGTTTACATGCTTATTCTACTTTCACTATTAAACATTATTGTCACAGCTTTACATTAGTTAACATGATTGTTTTTGTTTTACAACGGTTCACTGGTTTGCTACTTACTACTTTACATAGATTAACCTGCTTGTTAATACTTTATATCGGGAAACACGTTTCTACTTTGCATCAGATAACATGTTTATTTCTTTATAACAGTTAACATGTTACTGCTTTGCAATGGATATCATACTTGTTATTACTTTAGATCAGTTAAAATTTCACTATTTTACATCGGTTGACATACTTACTATTACATATTACTAGAAAACGCAGAATATAAAACTAGATTGATCTACAAACATATGTCACACTGTAGATAAGTCATTTTGTCAATTAATTCAGTTTATGTGGCATCTAATCTAACACATCATCTATCTGTTAACTATCCCGAAATTACAAGCTTCATTCACTAAAGCTCTACGTTGAGCGAACTATAATAGGCTCAACTCATGCAGTAAAGTTCACAGTAAAATAATAAGAAACAGGAATATTATTTTTTAGTTTAACAGTTTTTGCTACATATGACTAAACAAACAATATGATCTGCAAGAAATTAACCGTTTAGTAATTTTGTAAGTTATATTTTTAATGTTGTAATTTAATTGTTAATTAGAGAGAGCTGCAGGTTTTAATGAAGATGTTTAGATCAAAAGGTTTAATAAGACAGGCCTAGAACACTTAGAAAGTTCTGATATAATAATATCCGAACTTACCTAAGTAGAGTCGCTTTAATTAATCTTAATAAATATAACTCAGCATATATAAAGGCCATTAAATTCAAGTAGAGAGAAAAATTGAGGCATTAAAATTTCGCTGTGAAACTTTGAAAGTAACTGTCATGAAAAATTGCAACAAAAAAGTAAAAATATTGTATGGATCCGAGGGTATCGGAGAGTATAAATAAATCTGTGAAAATTAAATCATAATTTAGCTGAAAACAGAGGAGATAAATTACCATTACAGCTGACGAGTTTTAGGGAAAAAATGTATTAATGAAAATATATAATTATATTTGAAACCACCAGAAACTCCCCTAGGAGTTTAGATACTTGTATCTATCAATTTTCAACCATTTTTATTAATTATCTCGAAAACAGAATACTCATATTTCAAACTATCAGAATGTCCTCCAGGAGTATAGGGATTTATATCCATTCATTCTGTCTAAATGTCTGAATAAAATCGTAATTAATAAGGTTGTTTAAATATGATAGTAAGTCTAGTTTTGATTGGGCTTTATTTGTGCTTAAGTTCTTCTAGAAGAGATTGTGTAGCTAAGTATTGGTTCAGGTAATAATGATGTTAAAAATGTGGTTTTCTAAACATGTGTACCAAAATTAACGAATTTCGCCCCCAAGGACTCGCATTTTCTGTCCAGAAACATTTTTATGTCACAATTTTTACGTAAAAATCTTGCAAAGCATTGGAAACAAATAGGCCTAATAAACTTGAACAAATCACTCTACACTGCCTAACATACTGCGTGATCAAGTAGATGAAGTGACAATAGATTCAAGACATGACTAATATTTGTTGTTGTTTCCATCTAAAACAAAATTATTAAAAAATGTCCAGCGTTTTTCAAATCGATGTAAAAGTGCAGGGATGTTGGTAATACTTTTGTATTTTTTATACATGACAGATTTATTTCTTTATTTTTCTAGATTATCTTAGCACAGCGGTAAGTTTGCGGACTTACAAAGCAAGAAACCGGGTTTCGATACCCATGGTGAGCAGAGCACAGATAGCCCATTGTGTAGCTTAACTTCAAACAAATAAAAAAACAAAGGTTATCTTGAAAATAAACACGAAAGCACTAATCTTATAGAATGTCACTATTCGTCAGACCACCAATTTGCTCTTCTAGATACTTTAGTTAGTATTAAAAGATTCCAAGAGTCTTTTTTTTTACTAGTGTTATTTAAACATAACTTGTTATATTGCGCTTTAAAAAAGTCACAAGTGGGCGGGAACTTTCTTACAGAGGACACGATAATGTCAATAATTCAAGAATTTAAAAAAAAGAAAAGAATTTGATTGTATTATAAATAATATATTATTATCTTATCGTGTTGACCCCTAAAGAAAAAATTAAAATGTGATGTTCCTAAATGACTTTAAATAGGTAAAATAGCCAGTTTAGCGTCACAATACATCCATATGTCACCATAGTACTACAACTCTTTATGCATATACTATTACAACTGTTTATAAGAAAATACATCCATACATCATTGCAATACAACTATTTATAAGAAAATACATCCATACATCATTGCAGTGCAAACTATTTATAAGAAACTACATCCATACATCATTGCAGTGCAAACTATTTATGAGAAAATACATCCATACATCATTGCAGTGCAACTGTTTAACACCGCAATGCATCCATTTTCACTATAATACAATTGTACATGGACGTCAGCAGAAATCTTTGGGCCCGGGCGAAGTAATTTTTCTGGGGGGCCCCACCTATGGGATTTTGCGTTTTATACGCGTGAGCATGTGACACGCTGGCTCAAGCGAAGTTGAAAAAAATGTGCGAGTCATCTTATATGTAGTTTACTACTGCAGTGCAACTGTATACCACCGTATTGCAAATACATACCACTGCACGACATCTTCAAGTTGCTAAAATATATTTACACCTACTATGTTATGTCATATCCCACTAGTATGTCTATAATCGCATTCACTAGCACGTGAGCGTTTTTTTTTCTAAACAATGAAATAAAGTCTAAAGTTATAGGAAACAATTTGAGCCATATAAAAAGCGAGTTAGGCTAGAGTTAGTTTTGGAATTAGTTATTTAACAAGTATGTTCGTTAGTTGATGAGTAAACAGTGCACGAATTCGTTAGTTTATCTCAGCCTGTTGATTAGTTCATTGCTGTGAATATTGAGTTTGTATTTCGACGAAGATATCGAGATCGGGAATTAGTGAGTATGGTTTTTGGTAGATTTAGTTTATTTGGGAAGTTAAGTTTTCGGTGAAAGTTCATTTCAGTTAAGCGTGTTAGTTTATGTGGTGAAATTAAAAGTCTGTGTTATCTTTAAGTGTACTGGACTTTCCATTATTATTGTTTTCCAAATAAACCAAAAGCAACCAACCGATAGAAATGATTACAGCATAATACGACTACATATTTATACTGTCGTACCGAATCCGAGTTTTTAATGTGTAATAACAACCTCTACACTACAAACAGCTGCGCGTTTTCAGTTTGTGTACAAACAATATAGTATATTCGATGACGAGGAACCCCCTTTGAGACTAATAATGGCTGGTATATTAAAGTTTTTCTTCATTACCCATTCAAGCCGTCTCCAGCCATTATTAATATAGTATATTATAAATAGAAAAACCTACTAAACTGATTTTTTTTATCAGGGGGAGACAAGAGTGTGAGAAACAAAACTATTAAAGATGAAGAATTTCTAGTGAGTTGCTTATCTAATAATTACTTCCCTCCATATAAGTTATTCTTCCTTTTTTATGTGTTTTCTATGTAAGTTCTCGGCTATTCTTTTTTTTAAATTTTAGCTTAATTAACAGTATTATTTATATTGTTGAATATATATATATATATATATATATATTATTATTTTTTATTATAAAGATCATTTTGCATTGTTAGCTAAATATATGGGCTTAGAACTAAGCTAAATCTCCCAAGTTGGCGAAACATTGTGAGATGTTATTGGGATCATACGTGTAGGCATGGTGGGTCTGGCGGGTGAGTGCACTCCTTATATACACCCACGTATGTACAAAACATGTTTAAAAGGCATAAAACAGCCTCAGATACCAGCAAAATGCACAATTTCTCGTGAACATTATAAATGTCTTTCCAAAAGTGTATACCATGGAACTCTCATTAATGCTACGCACCCATTTCCAAACTAAGCATCTCTACCCCTTACAAGTTTGGATTATGGTAAAAAATGTCGTTAACCGGCAATGATGAAATAAGAATGGTATAATATCGATATTCATTACTGGAATAATTTTTTATTTCTGATTTATTTATGTAGCATGCTTCGATCAAAAGTTAATGATAATTATAATTTTCCACGTATTGAGTTATTATTATTGGTAGTAGTATTTCCTACGTCACGAGTTACTGCTATTTCCAATATCATAAACTATTCTTATTATTTCCTATGTAATAACGTATTATTATTACTTCTCTCATCGTAAGTTAGCATTCCTAACATAAAATATTCGCGCTAATCAAGATTCACAGAGGTCCCAGTGTATCAACCAAGCCACTCCATTATCTCCAATTACTTCTATATCTACCCTCAAAGGAGGTCCGTAACACCCTTGTACACCCCGAGTCCCCCTTCCAAGTTTGGTCCTGCTAGCTTCAGAACTGTGGGAGTAGTTGGACATACATACATACATACAAAATTAAAAGCTGAATTAACATAAGATTAATATTTCTGTGTCATAAGTTATTACTTGTGGATATTTCTGTATCATAAAGATTGGATGAAACATTTTCCAAGTTTGCGTAAACTTATCTTGAGAAAACTCCACAAAGATGACATGTAATTTGTAAAAAGGATTTAAAATTTCACTATTTTATTCTGGCAGTATATCTCCAATCATACATCGTAGACGTTCCTCGTTAAAGTTTTTGTTTTTTTTACATCTTTCCCAAGTACTACGAATGAAAATAATGTAATATGAAAGGTTGATCATATTCGGCTCCCAAAAAATACGGAAATGTGTCCGTATATCCGTCGTTATCAACGGGCACAGACCATTTCTGATAGGACAATGAGAAATAATATTCTACATATTTCCACTAAGTTTCATAAAAAGAGTGAGTTTTAGAGCAAAAATAGTGTGAAAAATCGGTTCTTATGTTAACAGATAGGGATTTTTTTCATTTTTGTGACCTTAACATTTGACCTTGACCCTTCAAAAACAAATAACATTTAAGTTGAACCATAGTCCAAATGTATACCAAATCCATTCATCCATTTTTGAGAAATCTTGCTGACGAACACACACAGAGGTGAAAACATAACCCATGCCCACTTTCGGTGGCAGAGGTAAAAATCGTATAGTACAGCTAGTACTGATCACTATAACTAGAGAAAACAATAACCGTTTTATATTATAGCCAGTATTGATCAATGTAACTAGAGAAACTAATAAACGTCTTTTATTATAGCCAGTATTGATCAATATAACTAGAGAAAACAATAAACGTCTTTTATTATAGCCAGTATTGATCACAATATATTTTATTATAACCAGTATTTATCGCAGTAACTATAGAAAACAATAAACATTTTGAACTGTAACCAGTGTTGATCAAGATGTTGAAAATAATAAAAATCTTGTAATATAACCAGTATTGATCAAAGTAACTAGATAAAATAAAAAAATATTTTATTATAAACAATATTGATTAAAGTAGTTTTAGAAAACAACAAAAACCTTATACTATAGGCAGAATTGATCAGAGTAGTTGACAAAAAAAATAATGAAAATCTTTTAATATGATCAGTATAATATTTTATTATAACCAGTATTGATTAGAATATCTACAAGCAAATATTTTACTATAGTCAGTATTATTCGGAGCTGCTACTACAACAGATTCACAGTACTCAATAATTCTGTTCTACGGCACTAATGTGTAAATAACCGATTTGTAGTAATATCAATAGAAAACATTGACAGTTTTGTACTATATCAGAATTATTTGTCATATCTTACCCAAAATTGAAAACACAACCAGTCCTGCAAACAAGGAAGTTATTGCATTACATGCTGACACGATAATAGCATCTCGATAACAGTTGTTATGAACAGGGTTATACGAAGAGAAAGCTATTAGGCCTCCAAAAGCTAAGCCTAATGAGAAGAAGATTTGTGTTCCAGCTTCCAACCAAACAACAGGATCGGCGAGCTTCCCCCACTACAAATGATGGTAAAGTGGTGTTAAGTTCTGTAATTATATGAACAAACTTTTGAGTATTTTAGTAGTAAAAATATTAAAGATTTAATGTCTTATACCCCTGGCCAAATCTGTAGATAATAGTTTAGTAAAGAGTGTACACAATGATTTGAGTGGACTCATAAATATTGTTTCATAAATGAAGATACACATCTTGTTGGGTTTAGAGAATCTTTACTGAATCGTGAAAAAGGTGAAAAAGAGAAGTAGGAAAAAGATTACATAAAGAAAAGAAAATGTAAAATAGAGCATCAGTAGTCAGTGAATTTAAACACAAAATTATAAGTTTCCCACAAATTACAGTTTTGTTGTTATTTTAACTTCTCTCTTTTGGGCTTAATTTCAACCACCTGTTTGAGACTTTTAGTTAAAGTATTTTAAAGGAATGTATACAATGCTTAGTTTAAAACAGTGACTTACATCTGGAGTGAAGAGATGTTTAATACCATCCTCCATTCCTTCTAAAGTAATTCCACGGAAGAAGAAAATGACTAGAACTAAGTAAGGAAAGGTAGCCGTAACATAAACTACCTGAAAGGATGAAAATAAAGATTTCTATAAACTTTCTAAAGCAATACACTTTACGATTTAGGTAGAGTAAAATTACATGAAACAATAACAGCAAATATTTCCCTGATACGGGAGCAACATATTATATATATAGTAAACTTCCTTTAACTATAAAAATAAAACTTTCGCTTAAATAAATTTTCTAAAATATAATTTACGACTCCAGGTAATGTAAACTATCTATGAAAATATCCTCTTTACTCAGACTACCTAAACAACGTAACAAATAGTATAATTTATTATGTTAATCTTGTTATATGAAAACATTGCATTTACTTTTGTCAATTAGTTAACTTTCATTAATAAACAGAATCAGTTTGGAGTCTTCCAAAACTTTTAAACACCAAATATTCATAGGGGTTCAAACAAAATGGGGAAAAAACATGAAATGGGTACAGAAAAGGAAAAATATCGTTAAATCACAAGGTGAATCAATGAGTTTAATGTGTTTAAACAGTAATGTGGATTAAAGTAATGATTTTGAAAAAGTGAATTACTTTAATGAATGTCATGTTAAGCAAACAACAGTGTGAACGATATTCATAAATAGGTGGTGTTTATGTAACATTATAGTTAAAATTAATAATTATAATTATCTGCAAGTAAAATATGGTTAAATTAATAAACAGTGGGATTGTAAGTCGAAATTTTAAGTTGATAAATATAACAGTTTTTAAATAGAAATTTGGCTTAAATATATAAATATATTGAAATGTAAATAAAAAAGTGTAATGATCAATAATTAGCAATACAATTTAATCTGATAAACATAACGATCTGTAAGTAATGGTACGGTATAAATAATAAACTTAATGATACATTAGTAACAATATAACTTCAGTCAAAAACATCCAGTGAGATGTAATAGAAATACGCATTAAATTAATACATATTATGGCCTGTAAATATAAAAAGTTAACACATATAGTGAGATGTAATAGAAATAGGCATTAAATTAATACATATTATGGCCTGTAAATATAAGTACAGTAATCATTAATTAACAGTATATGGTTGTTTTAGAGTAAACTTACACAATGTCTACCGCAGGAATCGAACCCCAGATTTAAGTATTGTAAGTCCATAAGCTTAGCGCTAACCCAATGGGGTACGTTAACAACAGCATATAAATGACAAACATGATAATATGCTTCTAACAATAGAATACAAGTAAATAAACAAAATGATGTGTTAATAATTAACAACAATATAAATAAAATGAATAAATATTGTGATCTAAAAAAAAAACAGAAAAAAGAATACGGTTCAAACACTAAGTATTATAGTATTGAAGTTTTCAAACATATCTTAAATGTATTCTGCATATTTTATGAATAAAAAAATATACCATCGAGTAAAGAAAGTCGTTCACGTTATTTCATATATCAAGAAAAGGCTCATACATTCTTGCTTTTACCATTTCTATTTCGGAAAATCCTTGAGAAATATGCCTAATATAGATTAAAAATATTTCCCATATTTTCAATCTATGATCAAGGTAAATCTACGAATGATTCAAACATACCTACACCTGTTCTATACTCGAAAAAAAACATGATAATTCTGTATATGATATATAAAAAAATCACAAAAAAATAGGAATGACTAAAATATATAGATATAAATCGTGTAATACATAAAATTCTTATAAAATACTTCTGATTCCTGAAAACATAGACATAATACATAGAAAACACGCATAACACGTGAGCGATACACAGAAAAAAAAATATCCAGGCATGATACACACATAAAATAAGGAAAATACGCAAACGAAACACGCAGAACAAGAGTAATCTTAAAATGATACAAAAATCGGGAGGATCTGTAAATGATACAGAGAAAACAAGGAAAACCTGTAAACGATACAGAGAAAACAAGGATAATCTGTAAACAATCCAGAGAGAAAACAAGGATAATCTGTAAACAATCCAGAGAGAAAACAAGAAAAATCTGTAAATGATACACAGAAAACAAGGAAAATCTGTAAATGATACACAGAAAACAAGGAAAATCTGTAAATGATACACAGAAAACAAGGAAAATCTGTAAACGATACACAGAAAACAATGAAAAATCTGTATACGATACAGAGAAAACAAGGAAAAATCTGTATACAATACAGAAAAAACAAAGAGAATCTGTAAACAATGCAGAAAGAAATCAAGGAAACTTGTAAACGATACACAGAAAACAAGGATAACCTGTAAACGATACAAAGATGCAAGGAAAATTTTTAAACGAAATACATAAAACAAGAACAATCTGAAAATGATACGTAACAAATAAGGATGGTGTGTAAGTGATACATAGAAAACAAAGACAACATGTAAATGATACACAGAAAAAAAGGGGAATCTGTGAATGATGCACAAACATAAGAAAAATGCGGGAACTTTACACTTAAAAATAACTAACAGATTTCGGCATCTTTTTCAAAATGATTCGAAAATGTTACAAGATTAGAATACTTTGTTTAACATTTTTTTTTAGCTGAAGCTAAATTGTAAAGATGTTGTCTGCTGCAGGAATCGAAAGAACAAATGGGAAACGTTGTATAGAGTTTTGTCTCCTCAAAGAGACAGAACAACTCTGAAACGTTATATCGCTCCATAATAACCGTTTCAACGACATAACTGAACTGGTCTGGTTTTTTGGTATCTAAGTGAAAGATTGAAAAAATCACAATTACCAGTATCTAATATAAAAGCTTTAAATTAAGACTTAATACACAAACACGTGCAGTTTTGTACATAAGTATGGTAACGGTGAAAAGAAAGGGAATAAAAGGGAAATACTGTGAAACTGTCTCTCATTCATCGTGTGAAAATGAACTGCACCAGAATACAGACACGCATTGATAACTAACCAATCAAAAAGGACACCGAGTGTGTGTGTGTGTGTGTGTGTGTGTTGTTTTCTTACAGCAAAGCCACATCGGGCTGGCTACCTGCTGTGTCTACCGAGGGGAATCGAGCCCCTGATTTTAGCAGTGTAAATCCGAAGACTTACCGCTGTCCCACCGGGAGACACTACGCGGAGTAATACTAAGATTTACAAAGTTCCGCTCTGAGAAGCTCAAAAGGCAACGAAACAGTTTGGCTTAATTATATGGAGTATAATGCAGGAGATATGAACAATATTCCACAATTACACATTGATAAACTCTATTGTAACATTAAAACAAGGGGTAATGCTCTGTATAAAGCAAGAGGCTCACATATAAAATAATAGTGCGTTATACCACTTATTCCCTTTCTTTTGTATTTTCTGTGATAATGTTTTGAACCGTCTAGTTGCTATGATTCGTTTCGTGGCTCCTGCATATGTATTGCTTGCGTGTTTCCATAACTATTTCCATTACTTTATATATTAGGAATACCGAAAAAAAATTCTTCATTTATTAGACAATAACAATGACCAGATGATTAACTTTAAGCTTTAACAATCATTTTTTCCGTTTTGTACACTAATTAATTGTTCACATTATTCGTGAAACAAACATCTTCATACATTGTACACATGAAAGAAACATCTTCACAAAATATTTAGCTTTTAAAATGTAACAAAAAAGTGCAAAACCCAGAATTATTATAAGTGATTTATATTTTATAAGTTTTTGTTCTCTAAGGTAAATGCAGCCTTAAAATAATAATGTATAAATATCAAAATGTATAAATATCAGTCTTTCTGGAAAAAATATTCTTCGTCTTATTGGTTACTTAGAACATACGTAAACTTGGCACTTAGGTCAACATGTTACTTTCTGGATCTTATCTCGGGTAATTCCACACTTCCGAGTATGTTACACACGATTTCTATGCAAAGAAATAAGTTCCTTTGTTAAAAACTTTGTTATGAAAGACATACTCTTGAAAAAACATCGGGAATCCTTTTTATAAATACATATTTCCACCAAAAAACTTTATTTTATTCTTCCCTTGGAAATAATAGCTGGTTAGTACACTTTATCTTTTTAAAGGAAGTTTGTTCTTTGTTAACAAAAATCTTGCCTGGTTAAAAAAATGACATATATCTGATCTTAAATATTTAATACTTATAAGAAGATATTCTCTTGAATAAAGACCTTTATTTTCCATAAAAAGTAGTCTCATAATTCCACGTGTTGTCTTTCCAAAAGAAGCTTTCTTTTTAAACTACTCACCTTACCTTTCTAGAAAAAGCTACCCATTGAACTTTTCTACAGAAAGCTGTTCCCTTGGTCGTAGGTATTATCTTATATAGTTAGCTATCTCATTGATGACACACATGTGACATTTCGTGGTTGTAGGTGTTACCTGATATAGTTGTTAGCTATCTAATTGATCATATGGACACGTGAGTTTTCTACAGAAAGCTCTTCCTTTGGTTGTAGACGTTACCTTACATAGTTAGCTATCTCACTGATCACACATGTGACTTTTCTTCTTAATAACATATTTTTATCTCGCGAAATAAAGTTATTATCACATATGCTGCTTTTTCAGGGAAAATTATCTCCTTAATCATATGTATAATCATCATGTATTATTCTAATTGCATAAGCTATTTCCTCAGTAAATGTTGTCCCCCCCCCCCTATTTAAAAAAAGATTTAAATTTAGTTCAAACATTTTTCCATAAGTAGTGGTTATATACTTTACCTTTCCGGAGGATGCTATACCCTTGATCATACAGAGGTAGCACAAAATCCAAGCTACCAAAAGACACAGAGCGATTCTCCAGTTGAAACTACCAGTTATTTCTAGACTTTCCGAAATGTCCAAAGTCTCTCGATACCAGAAGTATTGGGTTGGACTACTTTTCTGAAAGTTAACAGATTAAAATCAGAATGTTCGAGAATCTGAGGCTCTACTGGTATAATCTATATTGCTTGAATTACATCTAGAACATCTATATTGATAAACAATCTTAGAAGTTAGCAGTTTGGTATTTTATCTTTTCAATATAATTATATCAGTTGTCAGTCACAAATTATTCTGTAGTAAGCTAGCAAGTATATAGATGGACATCCAAACAAAGAACTATAATATATATTTGTTCTTACATATTAAAGTGTTTATAAATCTTAAGAATGTTGAACCTGGTTGTTAAGTAATATAAAAAATCGTACATATATATTAGTATATAAATATATATATATAAACACATTTTTATGTTAAATAAACCAACAGATATTATAGATATAACCAAAACACAAACATACACACATAGCTATTTATACAGAGAGAAAACATATGTGAAATTAAAAAGTGGTCAAACAGTTCAGTACCCTGAAAGACTGAGATGTAAAATTAACCAAACATAACTACGCACATACACATACAAAGGTTGAGTACGTTATATTAACACAAATTTGGAGCATCTTTATAATCCATGTCGCCATGTCCGGTCATGCCTATCTCACGACCGTGCATCTTAACAATATCCCTTTAGCGAGGTTTCACTACAAAAGTTTGTTTGTTTGTTTGTTTTGAATTTCGGGCAAAGCTACACGAGGGCTATCTGCGCTAGCCGTCCCTAATTTAACAGTGAAATACTAGAGGGAAGGCACTAGTCATCACCACCCACCACCAATTCTTGGGCTACTCTTTTACCAACTAATAATGAGATTGACCGTCACATTATAGCTCCCCCACGGCTGAAAGGGCGAGCATGTTTGGTGTGACGGAGATTCGAACCCGCGACTCTCAGATTGCGAGTCGAGCGCCCTAACCACCTGGCCATGCCGGGCCCACTACAAAAGACTCTCATGTTAAAAGCACACAACTCATCCTTCTGGGCTTTCGATAATCCATGTAATGTATGAGGACAAAGGTTTTCCAGCACCCCTTTCATAGATAAAATCGCACAGAAATTCATAGGTGCAGCAAGCATCGACCTGGCTTGTATGTCTTTCTACAGAATAGTATGATCATTCTCCAGCTGCTAGAAGTATGCGACGATTGAACGAAAGGTGTGACTGGAATTCTTAACTTTGTGAATACATACCCTGTTGATCTCGTGTCAAGACTGAGACCCTTCTTGATTATGTTCGTGGTCCAAAACATGCCTTTTCGAACAGCTCTTCAATGCTGGTCCCAGAGTGTGAGGTTAAAAAACTTTCATGTCTCTCTGACTATCTAGCTGTATCATAACCTGTTTAATTATTTTTTATTTTATCTGAGTATTATTTTATCTATCTGCTTGTCTGTCTTAATTATCTATAACTTATATACAATATCTTGAGTGCGTTATTTTAAAACGATTTTGAATATGCAAATCAGCAAGTCACATGATAACCGCAGCCGATGTAAAAATCGAGGTAGAATAGAATGTATGATAATTACATTTTGACATTGTTTCCGATGCAAAGTATTCATACTTTCAGACCATAAAGATGTGTTCTTATCGAGGGCTTAGAATTGTCATGAAGGAGATATTTCCTGCACTTAATGGTATTCGAAAAGAAAGCACTGTGGGTCAATTTGTGGCACCAGGACCATCCAGAAAGAGGCCTGAAACAAGTTGTACTCCAGCCGTAATAAACAAACTACGACGTATTTTATAGGTGAGAATCATTCTGACCAAGGAAGTGGTGACTGAAAGCTGTTGCCCAAATAGAAGAGACACCAGCCGATGATAGTGTTGTAGTAGAGAGCTACGTTAAACGACACAACAGCACTCGTTATCCCAATTCCTCCCATAAACGGAGACACCAGGTTCCAAGCACCGATGGCTCCCTTACGGAGTCTCTGACCAACAGCCAGTTCGAGAAAAAACAGTGGGATACCTTCAACAGCCAGCATGATAAGATAAGGGATGAGAAACGCCCCTGAAAATGAAATTAGATTAAATATTTAAGCATTAGAAAATAACGGAAATATGTATACTTCTGGTCCTGCAAACAAGGTTAAAAAGAGTGCACATTAGAAAATAAAGAGAAATAAAGAGCCATCTCATGCGTACGTGGGCTAAACTGCCAGGTCAGAGACTCTTAGGCTACGGATATAGTCGAAACTAATTTTGAACTGTTGACCAGAGGGAAGGAAGCCAGTTAGCAACAAACGCCGGTATAAGGGTCTTGCTCTACTCTTCGAACCGAATAATAGAATTAACTACAACTTTTATAACACATCCATAGTTTAAATGCAGAGTGTATTCAGTGGCATCACGTACCGGAACCTTCGATCTGCAGCCCGATACGCTAACTAATAGGCCCTAGAAAACAAAGGAATGAGGAAAGCTCCTGTAAAAGATAAGAATACAGGGATGAAGAACGCACCTGAAGCCAAGATTATATTAAACAACTTAAGAATTAGAAAACAGAGGGGCGAGGAATGCGCCTGAAAACAAGATAAAATCAAAGCCTTAAATACATAACACTCCTAGAAAATAATTACTTACAATGAAAGAAATGTGGGCACTTTGCTAGAGACAAGTTCGTCCAGACTTTGTAAAAATTACAAGTAAGGTTTCATGCTGCCATTATCCTCTAAACAAACACTTTTATTGTTGTGCTTTGAGATTTAAATAAACTATTTAAAAAGGATCAAAGAGCAAAGCTACTGAAATTATGTGGTATACTTTTAAGAGAAAACTTACAATTTAACTTAAGCATTTGTGTGAATAAATTGTAAAACGGATAACAGAAAATTAAAAAGAGAGCAAAAGTGTGTTAACAGTACATTAAAAGGTAGTAAAACTGGGATAACAGGACATTGAAAAAAAGAGTAAAAATGAGATAGCGATACATTAAAGAGAAAGTAAAAGTGGGATAACAGTATATTAATTAATTTCTAATTTCAATAAATCACTTGTTAGACTGAACTTACCTCCACCATTCTTTTGAGCTAGATAAGGAAATCTCCACACATTACCAAGACCAACAGCATAACCAATAGTTGCTAAGATAAATTGGATCTTGCTATCCCATGATTCTCTTTGTTCTGGCTCCTCTGGTTTGAACTCTTCTTTTTCGACCATAGAAACCATATCCATGGTGACTGGTCCCGTCGACAGTGGGCTGACGTCGGACTCGAAGGCCACGTTGGTTGTACCGTAAGTCTGTATGCTGCCATTTTCTACGATCAGCGGACCTTGCATTTCCTGAAGTTCAACCTTATCCCCTACCGGAAGTTCTCCCTTGGAAGTTTGTTTCCTGGGAATGTTCTGCATGTGTTCAGCTTTAAATAGAACTAAAAATGACTACAACTGATGTTATTCAATCAGAAAATATTTAATTTCAAATATAGTTAATTTCCATAAAATTCCTACCACGTCGCCTGCCGGAAACGTTTGTTTGGAAACATTTCTGGGAGTATTACTCAATGATTCAACTGATTCAACAGTCAGTCACCACCTTCTGTGCACCTATAACAGCCTCCGATATAGTAATCAGATATCAGCTTCAGTAAACCTTCAATAGTCTCCCGACGTATCAATCATTTATGAGCTTCAGTACATCTTCCAAAATCTCACGAAGTATCAGTCAAATATCAGTTTCGGTACACATTCAAAAATCTCACGATATATCAGTCAAATATCATCTTCAGTACACCTCCAACAGTCTCCCTATATATATAAGCCAGATATGATCTCCAGTACACCTCCAACAGTCTCCCTATGTATTAGTCAAATATGAGCTTCAATACACCTCCAACAGTGTCCCTATGTATCAGTTGTGTTGAAGGAATTGTTGATAACTTTAGAGAATCTGTTAAGAATATACATGGCTTGATTTGTAAGAATGTAAAATACTTAAACAAAGAAAAAGTTATTCACTCAAACAAAAACTTTCTATAATGTCAAACACAAAGGATACTTCTGTTTAGTATATGCCTTTTACTTCTGTTACAGCTAAAACACAGTATTAAACACTTCATATGAATGATTTTTATATGCCAATGCAGTAATGTGTCACTGAAGGTGCATGATGTGGCACCATAGACAATGTATTTAGTATATGCATATTTAGTTCATAGTAAATTCCTTACCATTTAGCAGTGCAGTGCCACAGGATGTACTTATTATTGGTGGTATATGTCACAGTCCATTCCAAGGAAAAATATTTATATGTGAAGATTGGTAAGACAGTATAGAGCCAAAAGATGCAACATTTGAAAGAAAGGATTATTCAGTGGTGTTATTGGAAGTGGAAAACTCACAAAGCAAAGTACTTAAAACAGCAAGAGTCTGAAATTACACCCTAAACTAATTCAGAAGAACACCATCTGAAAAGTGAAGAAATAGTTATGAAAGAGAACCCTTTAACCCCAAAATTAGTACAATTCCAAGTGTCACTTGGTACGTCCAGCAAATATAAGCTATGGTATACATTCAGAAGCCATTCGTTTTGTCCAGGAGACGCTAACTATAGTAAAAATACAAAAGCTTTTGTCTCTGTCCAGCAGGCACAAACTAGAGTATACACAGCGTGGTCACAAGTAAATAGACACCCCTTTTCAGAAAAAATGAAATTTTTCAGTCATATTCACATGAATTGATATATTTATGATTTAATTGACATCTAATAGATCTTCCTTTCGCTTCGTGGAGTTCGTTGATTCTTTGGGGCATCGTGAGAATCATCTCGTCAATTTTAGATTGTGGGATTTTCGTCCACTCTTGCTTCAAAATGTCTGGAGAATGCCTCACCAAGAGTTTTGGCTCAACAGATTGCAGCCAACTGTGAAGCATGGTGGTTTCAGCGTGATGGTTTGGGGGGCTGTTTGGGTTGGTGGGAGATCGAGCTTAATGGAGTGCGTTGGCAACATAAATTTTGCGAAATACGTCGAAATATTGGAGGAAGGACTCTTGCCACTTTACTCCTCGGGTTTCGTGGACAAGAACACAACGTTGTTCCAGGAAGATGGAGCACCGTGTCACACTGCTAGAAACACTCAAAAGTGGCAGGAAGAAAATGGTATCCAGAAGTTACCCTGGCCGAACCAATCTCCTGACATGAACCCCATGGAAAACCTCTGGGCCATACTCGACAGGCAAGTCCAGAAACAACCAAAAAAACCAACTTCGAAGAGCGATCTACTCCAAGGGGAAGACTGTATTGTTCTCAGACGAATCAAGATTCGCTCAATTTTCGGACAGTGGAAGGATATGGGAAAAAGTCCAGAGGCTTGGTCATCATATCACTTGCCCTCTTCTTTCGTCTGTCTATGTTGGCAGGTCTTAATAAGGGCTTCCATCTAGCTGCTCTGCAACGATAACCCAATCTGTGGAGAATCCGTTGAACAGATTTCGGGCTCATCCCACCAACTTTGGCCACTGCCGCAGTCATTAATCTGGGATCCATTTCAATGCTCCTCTTGACAGCCCCTTTTGTCCTCTTCGATGGACCAGGACAACCCGGACATTGCTCATTT